TTGATTCTCCTCCTGTCCCACTATCATGCTCAGTCCCCACCAGGATTTCAGCACTTCCTCTTTGTTACGTTCCCCTTGATCCTGCCCTACCAGACTGACCATCTACTTTACAAGCATGTTCTTTCTTAATAGCATGTTTAGAGCACATGAGACAAAGACATCTTGACTTCTAAGGGGCATTCTGTTTATACTTCTGACATTTGTTTGTTCTGGCCATCCATGGTGCTCTCAATACTCTTCAACAACAGCAAAATCCACATGCATCGGTTTTACTTCGCTCTTCCTTATATGGGTTGAAAATATGTCTTGAGTCAGGCAACCATCGTTTCCCAAAGTGGCATTTTAGCAGTTTAAAGGGTCTTGTCTAGCGGATGTACACTGGCACAGAAAGGAACTGGAAACTCAGGGAATCTAGAACAGTGGAACCCCTCAGGACCAGTGGTAAGAGTGGTGATACCGGGAGGGTGAGGAAGGTGGGGTAGAAAGGGGGGACCAATGACAAGGATCTACATATAACCCCCTCCCTGGGGGACTGACAACAGAAAAGTGGGTGAAGAGAGACGTTAGAGAGGGTAAGACATGACAAAATAACAATAATTTATAAATTATCAAGGGTTCGGGAGGGTGGGAGAGTGGAAGGGGAGGGAGTGGGAAAAATTGAAAAGCTGATACCAAGGGCCCAAGTAGAAAGCAAATGTTTTGAGAATAGTGAGGGCAACAAATGTACAAATGTGCTTGACACATGGAAGTATGTACGGATTGTGATAAGAGTTGTAGGAGCCCCCAATAAAATGATTTTTTTAAAAAAGGTCTTGTGTAGCAGATTTGTGCAATGCAATTCATTGATTTCTTGGCTGCTGCTGCTGTGGCTATGAGCATTGATTGTGGATCCAAGTAAAATGAAGTCCTTGACAACTTTATCATGTTGTCTCTCTGTCCCGCCCGAGGATTTAGGTTTCTTTGCATTGTATTGCAATACATACTTGAAGGCTGTGTCAGTCAGCAAATGCTTTAAATCGTACTGCTTTTTAGTAAGCACAATCGTATCATCCGCATACCATAGGTTGTTAAACCTTCCTCCAATCCTGATGCCAAGTTCTTCAAGTAGTATAGCTCAGAATCTTTGTTCAGCATGCGAACTGAATAAATCTGGTGAGAGGACACCTTTCCTGATTTTGAACAATGCCTGATTCCCTTCCTCTGTTTCAATGACTGACTCTTGGTCTATGTACAGGTCCACCAAGAGCACAATGAAGGGTTAGGAAATTCCCATTTTCTCCCTGTTCTCCCTAGTTCATTATGATCCATATAGTCGAATGCCTTTGTACAGTCAATAAACCTATAGGAAACATCTTTCTAATACTTTCAGCTAAGATCCATTTGAAGTCAGCAATGACAGCCCCCTATTGTACTGCTACAACCTTTTTGAATTGTCAGCCAACTTTTGCATCTCTTAGGAATGATACAGTTGGATAATTTCTATATTCTTTGGTCACTTTTCTTTGGAAGGGCACAAATATGAATATCTTCCAGTTCATTGGCCAGATAACTGCCTTCCAGATTTTGGGGTCAAGACCAGTAAGTGCTTCCAGTACTTCATCAGCATCTTGAAACATTTCAGTTGATATTCCGTCAATTACTGTAGGTTTGTTTTTAGCAAATGCCTTGAATGCAGCTTCGACTTCGGTAGCATGCACCTTTGATTCTTCTTTTTTTTTTTTCTTCACGGTTTAAGGAATTTATTAAAACAAGAATTTTATAATCCAAATTCTGTTTCCTTGCTCAGTTAACAATTCTGTCATTGAAAACAGAAGTGATGCTCTGGCTCTGAGCTATTCAGTAAAGAATTACAAAGTTAAAGAAAGGGATGTTTTAAATGTTTGTACTTTGATGAAAAATCTTTTCCCAGGGTCTATAAAACATTAATTTGTTTTATATTTTACTGTTTTACTGTAGGTTATTTTGTTTTGTTTTTAAATGAATAAGTAATCTAGGACTAGCACTGTTTTCTAGGCCTGGCATTTGCATGGTACATAAGGGTCAATTTTTTTTTTTAGTTTATTTTATATTTTCCTTTTTTTTTTTTTTACCATTAGTTCTTGATGATATATTGCCTCTTAAAATGGTGGGATGTCAACCAGTTCTTTTGGGCTCAGGGACTAATTCAATCACATTTTGATGCATCACGCACTGGTCAAGATTAGTGGGCAGCATATATTTAGACCATACTCACCCCCACCCATTGTCTATCAGTTTTCCATCGTTTCAAAGGTCCCTACGAGTTAGAATTGACTTGATGACAGTGATTTTGCCTGATTTCACTTGTCATTCTTAACACTATGAAACAACTTTTGTTTTTCATCTTCAACAGGAGTACTGCAGCAAAGGACTAGTTTTGAGGATTTTTTGCTTTCTTTTTGCTGAAGTATAATCTAGACTTTAGCCTTTGATCTTCATCAGTAAGTGTTTCAAGTTGTATTCACTTTCAACAAGCAAGGTTTTGTCTTGTGCACATCACAGGTTGTTAATGAGCTTTCCTCCAATCCTGATGCCATGTTCTTCATATCATCCAGCTTCTCTGATGATTTGCTCAGCATGCAGATTGAGTAAGTATGGTGAGTGGATATAACCCTAATGCACACATTTCTTGATTTTTGGACATAGGGAAATGTATATTTAAAACAGCAATGAAATAAAATATAACTCAGCAATAATAGCAATGATTTTTAAAAATCCCAAAATAACAAATGCTGCTGAGGGTGTGCGAAAACTGGAGCCCTGATACACTGCTGGTAGTGTTGTAAACTGGCAATAAGTACGGTGAGCACAGCTTTTTAAAAAGTTAAAAATAGAGGGGTACTAGCTCACCACTACATTTATATATATATGTATATATATGTATATATATGTATATATATGTATATATCTCCCATATATAAGAGCTGTGACATAATAGAAATAAGCTGTGGCATGAATAGATATATGTACACCCAAGTTCATCTAAGCATTATTCACTATAGCAAAAAGATAGCAACAGCCTAAGTATCCATCAATGGATGAATGGATAAACAAAGCAGAGTTCACACACATAATGGACTACCATGGAAGATTAGAGAACAACAAATCCACAAAACATCTCACATAAAGAGAATGAGCCTATAGAATATAAAGCTGAGTGAAGCACCTCAATCAGAAAAAAAGATAAATATTATGTGAGACTGCCATTGTAAAAAGCCGAGGAAAAGTTTATGCACAGAAAGAAACATTCTTTGTAGCTTGCCAGGAGGGAAGGAGCAAAGCTCACTAACCAGATAGGAGATCTATTCCTCTAGTGACGGGAAAGGGAGTACACAACGAAGAGGAGGCTAGCACACGATGACCAAGGTAAAAGGGACTAGGAAATACACAAGAGTAAAAGACAATAGGGATAAGTACTTTTATATACACAATCCTGTAATAACTAATAAGACAATTTATGAGTGGGTACATAGGTAGACATGTAAATTGAGCAGATGTGGGATATCATCTGAGCATATATATACTCATTAGCATATATATATATATGCTTGACAAAGGATATTTCCATATATGTATTTGTATGTGCCACAAATACTCCTCATCTATCCAGGTATATAGCAGAAGATCTAGAAGGCAAACTTCTTGGTCATAACCAAACACTTTGAGTCTTTGGGGGACACCTAGGGCAACTGGCACAACATCGTCCATAAAGACAATGTCCTATGTCCTATTTTGGTGAGTAGAAACTCCAAATTGTGAGTGGGGTCTCCACCAGGACCTTTCAAGTTCAAATGACCCACATATCAAGCCCAGCAGTTACTGATGTCAGCCCTAATTCCAGGCGATTTTATTAACGGAAGAAATCTGCGGGTCACCTAATCTTAGAGCCATAGCATTCTAGAGCTCTAATACATTGTCAGTGTTACCTGTTAAAAAATAAAGTGCAGTTGACTTGCCCAGTGTCATTCATTAATTATTGTCCTTGCTGTTGTGAGGTCAATTACAACTCATAATCTCTCATCAAGTCATTCTGCCTCACAGTGACTGTACAGACAGAGTAGGACTGACTGTCCCTGTGGCTTTTTGAAGTTATGCATGTTTACAAGAGCAGAAAGCCTCATCTTTATCCCTCAGAGTGGCTTGCTGATTTGAACTTCAGACTTGGTGGTTAGCAGCCCAGCTTGAAAGCCACCAAGGTTCTGCATTCGAACGCCAGTGAACCTTTAAGAGAGCAAAATGCCCTATTGGGTTTCCTAGGTTATAGTCCGTGTGAGATCAAAGCTTTTTTATTAGAAAAGCAGAGCTACTGTTAGCTTCAAACCTCTGATCAAGGTAGCAGCCCAAAGTCAGCATCTTAGAGCTCTTCGAGCGTAACCATTGGGCAACTTACATTGTCTTTAGTTAAATTCAGACTCGATAGCAACCCTCTACAGCAGAGCAGAAGTGCCCCGTGGGGTTTCCGAGGTGTAAATCTTTTTTTTTTTCCCCCGAGGTGTAAATCTTTAGGAAAACCGGCTGTTATATCTTTGTCCAGGTGCGTGGTTGGTGAGTTCCAACTGCTGACTGACCGTGTTAGTGGTCCAACACTTACCACACCTTCACCAGGCCTTCAACTGTGACAGGGCTCTTTAGCTCTCCTCGGTGCTCTGGAAGCTACTGGGTCCTTACTCTTCCTGAGGTCTAGGCTGGAAGTCACAGTCGCGAGGGCTCTGGGGTCCTTCAGCTTGTTGTTAAAAACCACGGAGCCATTAGTTGATTCCAACTCAGCGACCCTAGGCAGGGTTTCTACGACCATGAACCTTTCCTGGAGCAAACAGCCAATCTTCCTTCTGGCCAGTGGGTAACTCACTATGCCACCCGTGCTTCCTGTTTGCTCCTTCGGCGCCCTAAGATTTTAGGATGGCTACTGGTCCCTCCTGTTATGTGAAATCATACCTAACAGTTTAAAAAGAAACATATTGGTATTTCACGTTATTGACCAATCATTTTAAAAGCAAGTTTTTTTTTTGTTTGTTTGTTTTTTAATAAAACGCGTTGGTAGCATCACTTGGAGGTCTGCATTTGGTGGAGAAGTGACTAATACAAGATAAAGTGAAAAGTGGAAACACTTGCAGAGCCCGGGCCTGGCGTCCAGACCAGGTGGCCCTGGCCCCGCCCCCGGGCGCCGAGGGGCGTGGCGGCGGCCGTGGCGGGCGGATGGGTGGGGCGCCGTCTCGCAGCGTCGGGGTCTCAGGCCGCAGCCTGCGCCATGTCTGCGCCCAGTCGGGGCACGGAGCTCGGTAAGGGGCCTGCGGGTCGCCGCCCCCCTCCCCCCGCACCTCCGCCTCCCGCTCCCGCCCTCCCCTGGGGATGGCGTGGGGCTCGCCTCCGCCCGGGACCGGAGTGGTGGCTTTTGGGAACTTGCGAGGCCCGCCGGGGCGCCCGGGCTGCCCCTCGGAGGCCCGGGCTCCGGTGGCTCTGGCCGCGGCGGGAACTGGTAGTGCGCGCGCGGCCGCACCTGCCTCCCCTGGTGGCCGGCCTTTGCGCCCAAGGCTGAGGCCGGAAAGCATTTGATCTTCACCTTCCAGTGTATTCGGTCAACCTTCTAACTTCCTCGTTGCAAAAACCCAACCCAGAACAAACGGAAACCTTCCTTTCCCCTCTGTTAACCCAACTGTTTCTCAAGTGTGTGCACGCCTGGTGGAAAAGTTGCCAGGTCTCTAGCCCAAATTTAACTTTGCTGAAGATAGTGTGTGGTTTTGTGAGTACGACGATCTGTCGAGGTTCCTGTGCAGATCTCACCTTCTCGCTGACTGCTCTTAGTCAAATGCTACTGAAGGTCAGAGGACCTAGTTTGGATTCCCTGGAAGGTGAACTATTATTTGTATTTCAAACGACAAAGCCACGAACGAGAGAAAAAGCAGAGGGCCGCAGTGTAAATATCATCGCTTGACAACATTTGTATTCTGGTTCTTTAACCTTAGCTCTATGACTTGGGAAACAATCATTCGGAGTTTCAATTGGATAGTGGTAAAATGGTCATAACAGTCAGTTGTAGCGCCAAATCTCAAACCAAACTCACTGCCGTCAAGTCGATTCCGACTCATAGCGACCCTGTAGGACAGGGTAGAACTGCCCCTGTGAGTGTCTGAGACTAACTTTTTACAGGAGTAGAAAGTTGCATTTCTCCTGCTGAGTGGCTGCTGGTTTTGAACAGCTGGCATTGCAGATATGGAGCGCTGTTGGTATATGAAGCCCAAGTAGTGGTTACGCGGTCCACATGGTCGCCAGTTCAAAACCTGCAGCAACTGTGTGGGAGGAAAACTGGGCAGAAAATTCTACTCCAGTGAACAGGTACATTGACTCGTGACACTTTGCTGATCGCAGTTCAAACCAGAACCAGTAGAGGGGCTTCAAAAAATGTGTGAGAAAAACAATGCAGTGATAATGGAATTTTCCTATGCATTTTTGAAGCCACTTGGTACTTATCTGAGAAGTGGTCTGAGGATTAAATGTGTAGTGCTTGGTAGATGGAAGGTATCTACAAATGGTTTGGGCTTGACTACCAAACTTTAGTGGTTTGAACTCACTGAGCCTTGGTGATGCCGTGGCTAAGCATTAGGCTGTGATCTGAATCATTAGCAGTTCGAAACCACCAGCAGCTTCTTGGGAGACACACTGGGCTTTTTATTCCTGTAAGTAGTTACAGTCTCGGAAACCCACAGGAGAGTCACTGGAAGTTGGCATTGACTTGATGACAGTTTTGGTTTAAGGGCAAGGCGGAAGAAAAGACTGGTGATCTGCTTCCATGAAGCTCACAGTCAGGAAAATCTTGTGGAGCAGTTCAAATCCTTCATACATGAGGTCACCGTGAGTGGGAACAACTTTTAAAAAAAAATGTTTAAGTTAGTGTTCAGTGAATGTTGTTAGTTGCAGCCTCATCTATTCATACTCGGGGCAGCCTCATGTGTGCTGAGTAAGAACTGTTTCATAGGATTTTTGGACGCTTTGACCTTTTGGTCAAAATTGTCTTCCAAGGTGCCTCTAGGTGAGTCGGACCTGCCAACTTTTCATTGAGCTGTCCAGTGCTTCACCATTTGGACCAACCAAGGACGCCTTGTTCAATAAATAATAATAATACTTATCTAGAGAGTTTAGTTTTAAGGAGCTAATTTGGAGAATCAACTCACATACTACTAGGTACCATGGAGTTGGTTCTCATCCATAGCAACCCAGTGCACAGCAGAATGAAACTCTGCCCTGTTCTGTGCCATCCTCGCAGTTGTTCCTCTACCTCAGCCCACGGATGCAGTCTAACTTGTTAAGAGCCTTCCTCTTTTTCACTGCTCTTCCACTTTACCAAATATGATGTCCTTCTCCAGGGACTGGTCTTTCCTGACAGCATGTGCAAAGCACGTAAAACAAAATCTTGCCAGCCTTGCCTCTAAGGAGCACTCTGGTCGTACTTCTGCCAACACAGATCAGATTGTCCTTTTAGCAGTCCATGGTCCTTTCAGTATTGTCCAGCACCACAATTCAAATGCATCTATTCCTCTGTGGTCTTCCTTATTTAATAGCCATCTTTTCCATGCACATGATGTGGTGGAGAATACCCTGGTTTGGGTCAGGCACACCTCAGTGCCCAAAGGAACATTGTTCTTCAGTACTCTAAAGAGGGCTTGTGCAGCAGACTTCCTGAATGCATTATGTCTTTTGATCTCTTCACTTCTGCTTCCATGAGTATTAATTGTGGATCCAAGTAAGACAAAATCCTTGACAACTTCAACCTTTTCTCCATTTATCATTTACCAATTTTTCTTTTTAAAATTACCATGTTAATTTTACACTCTAGACATCAAGAGAGGTTTAGAAATTTTTGTTGAATACTAAGAATACTAAGAATTTCTTTTCTCTCTTTATAAATACAATAGATTATTTCACCAAGTTGAAACTTTTACTCATTGCCCTTTAGCAGTTTGGTTTTAAATTCTACTTCTCCTTCTGTAATGTAGGCTTTGCAATAAAGAAATATTGCCTAGGCCCTGTTGGTGTCGTGGGTTATGCCTTGGGCTGTTAACATCAAGGTCAGCAGTTTGAAACCACCAGATGCTGCTTGGGAGAAAGATGAATCTTTTTACCAACACGAAGAGTTCGAGTCTTACACCTTCCTGACAAGATCACTGAAGAAAAAATGGGTGCATAAACAAATGTGAAGAAAGCTAATGATGTCTGGCTATTAAAAGATACAGCGTCTGCAGTCTTAAAGGTTTGTAGTTAAGTAAGTGGTCATCTAGCTGGGAAGCAACAAAGGCCACATGGAAGGAGCATACCAACCTGTGTGTTCATGAGGTGTTGATGGGAAGAGGTTCAGAAGTTCAAAAACAAGCAACCAAATCAATGTGAAAGGTATGAATGTATTGGAAACCCAAAACCTACCGGTAAGATAATTGGACAGTTCCTCTCTGACAGGCCGCACAGTAGGGATGTTAAATCCAGGGTGCTGTAGAGCACTGATGAAACACGTAGCTATCTGGTTCTTTAATATTTTTTCCCCTTACAATTAAGGCTTATGTTTCACCTTATTAATATTGTTAGATCTATGTATGTTCATTTGTATAGTTAAGATTGGTTAATGCAGAAAAGCCAGGATGGATGACCCTTCAGAAACAGTATTGGGAGTAATGGGTCCCTAAGGATACGGAAGAAAGCAGGAGAGAAGCAGGGAGCTGATATCAATGATGATTGTATAACCCCAATCAAGGGGAGCAAATAACAAAATTATAGGTGAATGGATATATTGGATGGATATATAAGATACCGCTATAAAATATACATAATAATAATAATAAATAACAACAATAAGGGTTCCTGGGGGGAAGGGTGGGGAGGGAGGGGGATAAAGGGGAGCTAATATTAAAGAGTTCAAGAAGAAAGAAAATGTTTTGAAACTGATTTAAGTAGCAATTGTACAATTATGCTTTATTTATTTCAATTATGGATTATGACAACTGCAGGAGCTCCCAGTAAAATGATAAGAAAAAAAAAGAGAGACTTTAGAAGTCCACAAGCGTAGTTCTTCCCTGTCCTGTAGGGTCACCATGAGTCAGAATCGACTCAATGGCAGTGAGTTCAGTTTTGGTTCCGTCTAGATCAGAAGGATCCCTTGTAGCATAGTGGGTTATGTTTTGGGATGTTAACCACAAGGCCAACAGTTCAAACCCACCAGCCCCTCTGAGGAGAAACCTTTCTCTTTCCCTTAAGATTTTCAGTATTGAAAATTCACAGGAGCTTTTCTACTCTATTCTCTAGTGCCACTATCAGTGGCAATCCACTCAGTGACAGTTAGTTTTATCACTTGTTTATATTTTGTTTTATAGGCTTCTGTGCTAGTCACCTAATTTGGTGTCAATTTAAGGATTAAGAGTGCAGGAGTGGAGTCTAGCCTCTCAATCTGGAGATAGCCAGTACCAGTAAGACTTCTGTGTGGTCATGGCCTTCTCCTGAGAATTCTGGGAAATCTGGGACTTCCTCCTTGGATATGGAAGATACCTCTCTCTCTGCTCCTTCTTGGGAGACATTGCAGAAAATAAGCCACATGGAAGCAACCAGACCTCTGAAGCCGGAGAAGCCACAGAGGGACCCCTGCCAGCGCTGAGTTGCTTATAATACCACTGGACCCAAAGACTTTCTACCCACTGGCTTGTGATCATCCTGCATTTGGCTTCATTGCATGTGTTTTGTGAGTCTGAAGATGACTTTATAGGTTGATATCGGACATGTGGGCTAATATCAGACTTATGGACTTGATCTGGACTAGGTGGGATATTTTCTCAATGTTCAATTCCTCTTGTATATAAACCTTTCCCTTGTATACATCTGTGTGTCCATGGATTTGTTTCTCTAGTCTACCAAGACTAACATATTATGGTACCGGGAGTGGGGTACTGGAGAAACAAATTATATAGATGGAGAGTGAATGTTTGTTTGACTGCTCCCTCATGGTAGTGTTTCTTCTCTGGTTAGCCAGAAGTCAGATATATCCATGCAGTTTACTGAGTTGTTTTCTGGAAAGAATATGGGAAGTTAAAGTTTTGATGATTATGTTTGGTTGTAGTCTTTGGTTATTCCTGTGTGAAATGGTAAAAATGAATGTGATTAATGTACACTTTGAGCTCAGGGGTAGAAATCACCACTTGAATGTCTCAGACATCATGCTGCTTAAGGAAAATGGCCAACAGAGGTCAAAATGGCTGACATAAAATGGCCAACAGAGGTCAAAATGGCCGACAGAAGGCCAAAA